TAAAAAATTCTAATTTGATCAATAATATTGAGGATATCAGAATGCATTAAAAATTGATTTTTTTGGTATTGGTGCGCCAACTCAAGGACAAAGTGCATATTTGGTAAAGTTCACAAATTTTGTTTTTAGTGGAATATTATTCACATGTTACGGTTTTTTTAATAATTATTTATTTCACTTGTAATGTATATACCATCTGTTGTGCAAATGGCACTAAACTTTGTGAACTCTAGATAGATTTAAGGAGATCTACGGTGAGTATAAAGTAATTTGTTTGGTGGTTGTGTATTATCTTGAATTTATCTTGACAGCAAAGTAGGTCGTTCATTTGAAAGATTTCCACTTGGGTCTAAGAACTCTAATTCAATTTTCTTTTCAACTAAGCTAGTGCATTGCACTGACATTACTTGAAGAAAAGCAATTATAGCGCAAACAAAAAGATTGAGAGACAGATAACCTTTTTATAACTTCAAAGATACTTCCATCATTTTTATAATCACAATAATATATATACCTACTTGATAATTATTGAACAGTAGTTGTAGATAGAGTATACTTCACACCTAACAGCAGTTAATTTATAAATTCGAAAATGATTGTTCAATAAGTGTATGTTTCGAGCGCGGCGTTGTACGGGTGCGAAACATGAAAAAAAAAAAAGGGTTAGAAGCGTTCTAAATGTGGTGCTATAGGCAAATGATGAGGATACCGTGGATAGAAAAGGTTAGAAATGAGGTATTAGAAAGAATAGGAGAACAGAGGACTCTAGAGAAGTTAACAAAAAAATAGGCGAGACAGGTTGGTAGGAGACCTTCCCAGACGTGAAGGTCTGGTCAGAAACAGAAATTAAAAGGAGTAGAGATAGATTTAAATTAGATTACTAATAGTAGATAGGATGTGGGATGTTCTAGTTTTAGGGAAATTCGAAGATTAGCACAGGAAAGGAAGGAGTGGATGTGCGTGTCCAACCAGTCTTAGGACTGACGACCTAATGAGGATGATGAAAATATGATGATTATAATATTATAACTATTAAAATATCATAACAAATAAAAGCCTTTTAAAACTGACTTTATCGAATTTACTTTGAAAAGTAGTCAACGAGTAGTTAGCTAAAGTGGAAATCGGACAATTCTGTTTCATAGTGAGTATTTTTTTCATATTGGATAATGCCACACGAGACACAAGTTGTGATATGTCACATCGCATGACAAGAACAAGATGTTAAACCTTTTTTATTTATTGTAACGATTTTATGTTTTGCAGCTATAAATGGAACTATTTCAACTTAATCGTAGAAATGCTTTGTTAACGTACAATTAATTCCACACCCCATACATATCTCTCCACTGACTGGATACACCTTCATGTGATTGTACATATGTATTATAAACGTACTATTGTTTATTAGCCCTATCGTGTACAACCCTGATGGAATATTGCTTAAATAGGTATCGCAAGCATAACGTCTATATGTATGCAGGTCCTACCAATCGAACAATACCACAATTAACGAGGCCTATGTTTAATTTAATTAAAATATAAGTTAATGTCCACAACATAGCGTAAAAGAACAACATGCATCTTGCAACAATTGTTTTATAATAACACTAGCTTTTCCCCGCGGCTTCGCTCGCAGAAATTTATATTGTTTCTCCAATTCATCCGTACAACGTTTTAATTTTATGTAATGTCGCCATCTTACATTTCAAATACAAACGTAGCAAAAACATTTCATCCTTAAGGGTTGATTTTTAAAAATTGTCAAAATACGTATTTGCTTAATTTCAATAACGAGCAACTTTCGAGTAAATCCGAGTACAAATAAAATATACCCCATGGAAACGTTGCAACCTCTTTTAATGTGATTAATAATATCAAACAGCATATATACCAAGTTTCAAGTACCTAGATTGAACCACTAATAAAGTATGTCCCAAACAAAAATTACGACACCTTTTTACCTTTTTTGGAGGTTGAATCTTTTAAAATGTCGAGATAAGTCTTTCACAAATTAAATGAGAGACCATTAAGACGAAGTTTCAAGTAAATCTGACGACAAGTAATGTATGTTCCATTTAAACATTGCAACTGCAAAGCTACCTCCCGACCAATTTTTAGCCAAATCAGTTCAGCCGTTCTTGATTTATAGTGTAACTAACACGACTTTCCTTTATATATACAGATTAAAATATGGGTAGGGATGACAAAAATACAAACGATCTTGATTTTATCTTGAAAAAAATATTTCTGTAATAAAGGAAAACATCTGCTGTATCCGTATTTTATTACAAAGATTTTCTTACGATACCACATACAGCATCTACGTAAAACGAAATACAATAACATTGAATCTCTGTCATATCAACTTCAGAAAGGAAAAACAAAGATCAATTTTTAATCCGAACTATCCGGCTTTGAACACTTATCGACTTTATTGTTTGGCGTCAAAATTTACACTTGGTTAATGAAAAACGGATTCGCAGCGAAAAAAGTAGGTTACAAGTCTTGCGAATGATAAAAAATCTGAAAAGCTTAATAACAGACATTTTTATTTCACGACCTTTCGGTCGTTATGGATGAGAAGCGTGTATACATATATATATATATATATATGTAAATTAAAACCTTCAAGGGACATGGACTAAAATANAATGTGTTTTTATATATATATCCATGTGTTCGTATAGGTGGTTCGAATCGTTTTTATTACGCGCGACAAATAAAGCACTAACGGTAAAATTCCAGTGCGTATATGAAAACGTACATCTAATGTTTGCGGTGGCATAAATGTGTCCATAAAACACGTCGTTGGGCCACAGATTTGGCATGGATGGAATGCTCAAATTTCCATTGCAAATCGTTACAATTTTATTAAGGACATTTTTCGCTATTTAAATTCATTTTCTTAGTCCTTTTTTGCTTTTGTCCTTAATAAAAGTTTTAATAGCAAATAAAACGATTGTGAATTTAATTCGTTGATGATGATGATGATGATTATGATAAGAAAACAGGAATTATATCATCAATATCATCATCATCAACATAGAGCCGTCAGTCTTAAGACTGGATGGACACGCACTTCCACTCTTTCCTATCGTGAGCAAATCTTAACAGTAATCTAATCTAGGCCTTTTAAGTCTTCTTAACTCCTGTTTCTGCTTCTAATAAGTCTCTAATTAACCCTTCACGCCCAAAATGGTGTATTGTTCCCTTAGTGGTCCCTGTACTCCTATTCTTTCTAGTATCTCCTCATTTCTAACCTTTTCTGTCCACGTTTGGTCCTTCGAGCCGGATCTATTTAGCAACTTTGGAAGTTAATCAATGTTTTGAATTAAAAAACACTTCAATAAATAAAAACACGATAGTTCATCGACCACCTTCACAGGAAAATCATCTCTTCCGAACGAGCTGTAATAGACTAATAGATTTGTTAAGAACCATCGTGTTTTTATTTATTGAAGTGTTTTTTAATTCAAAACAACGTTATTCGCATCATTTCGAACGCTTCTAACCTTTTGTTTCGATTTGATTTTTAGAATTGACTGACGGAGCACCCTGTACATTCATTTCCTCCTTAATTCCCATTCACTTTTTGGTATAACGCTTTACAATAATTGCTTTGTCTTTACAATGACGTGAAATTATGTTGTTGCAGAATGCGTTGTGTTGAGATTTCAATTAGCATTAGTGGTGAGTGCAATATAAACATTCTTTTGATATAGAAACTTCGTGTCTATAGAAATCCACTGTGGAACTGATGTAACTATGCACAGGCCCATTGTTACACACGTTTTATACACAGAGTAACAAAACCAATTTGTTATGGATACTCGGTCGCATGTTGTACTCAAATCCATTGTTCCCTTAAATAACACAACGTACTATTATTCTCATTGCAGAGATCTTTGAGTTTCAACAGGGTTGCTTTGATGAATTTTACATGATCTTGAAATTGTAGCTACCTTTATCACTAGGTATAAAAAGGGTTGCCACCTATGAAAGTCAGGTACAAAATTATAAAGTTTTTCTTATCTTTCTTCTTCTATCAGGAGGTAGTATTTAAGAACTCCTAATGATGGAAACGATATTTTGTCTTCAAAATCCTTCATTAGTTGTACAAATTCACCTTCATATCTCAAAATGTAATGACCTTGTCTTTATTCAGAGCTTAAATATAAACACACGAGCGCTTGAAAAAAGTTATCATTGCTTTCAGTGCTGCTCCACTCGCAGCTCACATTTCAAGCACAAACAAGCCTTTAGACATAAGCGAGATATAAAAATGAATGTGAATTGTTTGCTTTGCAATGTCAGATGCTTCTGCGGCTAATGGATTAGACCTATGGCGTTAGAAGAATAATTTGGGAAAAAGTATAAACATTTCTTGTAAATTACCCCTCTGTTAAGATACAAGAAATCCCAATTTTTATCCTAAAGAAGTACCCACCAAAGAATTGCTTGTTTAGTATATAGTAGCAAGAAGGAAGAAATGATATAATCAATGTTCTAATAAACTGATGTATTAGATTGATTTATTTCGTTAAAAATAAAATTTATTGTACCACTAACTATCTGGCAGCTTTTTGTGCAATCGTGTATTTTGTTAGGATTTGGGAATGATAATAAGAAAGTATATTAAATCAAGTGTACAGAACTGTTTATTATTAATAGTTGTACACAGGTAGGTAGTACAGAGAAGACTAAGTACTCTGTTCAGTGTTTAATTTATTAACAATAAGTGGGGGTATGGTAGCAGAGCGTCGTTATAAAATGTTGGATATTTTCCCTTACAACGGGTGACATATACAACATATTTAAATTAACATCGAACAGAATAAAAGATTGCCTTCAAAACACAATAGTTTAGGGAATTCCTGAGTGTTAATTGTTCTATTAAAGGGTGTAATTATCAGATTCAAACGCTGTACTCTGTACGTATTTTCTGCTTATTTCCTTAATGCCAGATTAGTTTTGCAATTAACATTTCAATTACTCACCGAGTTCCCGAATTCAGTTAGCATCCTGCTGTGTTCTCTGGCCCAAAGCACCGGGACCGCCGCGTGTTTGGCTGCATAAGACACCATGAAGGCCGCAGGTGAATCCCCTATTACTAAAACCGCCACCACGTGTTTACCGTCGAATAGATCGCAAACTTTTTGTAACAATTTTGCACTAAACGTTCCATTATCGGGCAAGTCTATCGTCAGTGTGTCCAGGGTGATGTTGTACCGTTCTTTATTCACTTTTTTTAATATGTAATTTTGTGTAATATTAAACAATGTTTTGTTGAATGCACGAGTGTATGTCTGACTGCCAGCTGGTGCAGCTATGGCGAAGTACAATTTTCCTTTCGGTCTCTGTCTCATTTCTTGTACGGACAACGTAACGAGACCGTCCTCAGGTTCTTTCGGTAATACTTCCGAATTTTGACCGAAGGTCAAACCCAAAAGCTGAACGTGTTTGATAAACGAAAGAAGAATTAAGAAGTGGCTCACGTGCCTCGTCAAGCACTTGGTGATTAACATACTTTCGAATGTAATTTGGCATAAGATTTATTAGTTACTATGTAAGTAGTTTAAATGCATCGAAATTTTGATTTGTTATGAAAACGTTCGACATCAATTCCCATTTGTATTGCAATGGCCTCTGTTTAATGTTGTTAGAAGTATTGACCAGTTCTGACGTCATCTTAGTTTGTTTTATAACGTAATATTATTAATTGTATATTGGTTTCCTTATTATTGCTATTATTTATTATTCTTGCTCAGTTATTTCTTGTTATGAGTATTACGATGATTCTGGTTGAAGTTGTTCTCGAAGTTGAATTCTTCTCATAAAACCTGAAACAAAGAAATTATTTTTAATAGACAGCTATGTATTTATTTATTTATTTGAAGGTGGTAAACATTTTAATATTTGAGAGAATCTAACTCTAGTTCAAACTATTATTACATTTTATTGTCATTGTAAATTTATTTGACTCAAAACGTTGTGCTTCATAGTTCAGTAGAAAAATTATATTGGTGTAGGTAATATAATTTTAATGAAATTGTTTCATTTTAATTTAATAAAATCTAAGTACATTACACTGTTATCTTGCTAAGGATAACAATTTCCTTATGATTCTTGAGCACAATTAAAAGAATCATTTCTGAATCGAACATTGTATTTTAGCATATTAAATTACATGTTTGCACATTTTTTAATTAAAATTTTCCACTGATTCCGGTTTTTGACTTTGTGATGTACTTAAGGAACTTAATTAAAAAGATTTCTGAGAAATAATCCTCGTGATGCTCCTAACACAATTAAAAAGTTTTTTGCGTTGAACGGGTCGAGAATTGTTGTGTCCCTGTCTTTACCATTTAGTCGCTCGAAAATTAAGTTGAAACTTTTCCCTGTCGTACCGTGCGGGTACAATACAATTGAACTTTTTTTAACCTGTCTACTCGTAATACCGAAAGATAAAAACTTTTTTGTAATAGTCTCCGATTTCTTTTAATTACAAATGATCGCTCCTATACTAATTAACAGAAGTATCTACTCACCCCATTATTATTCAATTTTTATCCAATAAAATATAGAATCACATTATATTTATTGTTAAAACTAAACTTTTTTTACATTATTTTGAATAAAAAGACCATCCCTTCGCGTAAAGTATAACCAACTGGAACTGAAAGCTGGAAAATCAGGACTTTTGCAACAAATCCGAATTATCAAAGAATAACATACGTAAATTTCGTAAACACGGGTATCAAGGAAGCGGTGCAAAACAGAGGAAGAGATGGACCACCGCACACTTAGATCTCGCGCTCTGGCCTGTCTATTCTTGGTCTTGCGCCTGCGTTGCGCGCAATCGATCAACCCAACCCTTACCATGGTGCGAGCAAAAATTTGTTTTAATATGTTTTTGTCAGCATACTCCTATTTACTTACAACTATCTGCAAATAGGATTTACTATGCAAATTCCTAAATCCAGCCTTTTTTAACCTGCATTTACTACGTATTTAAACCGGGGTACGTATTTTTCAGGTAAATGTTAACTCAAGAGTTTTACTGGCAACTAAAAAATTTACCAACTTTGAAAGTTACAGTTTTAATAAATTTTCATAAAGAAAAACCTAAAACAAACAGATTTTTTTAATGCACATGATTTTCCCAGAAATACTGGATGTAGTTAAATGTTAATATGAATGTCAAAGTTCTCAATAAGCATGTTAGCTTTGGGCAAATATTGTGAATGTAGTATATGTAGCGTCAGAAATATGACCTTATTTTTCCTGAATCTAGAATATCGTATTTCATTTTTCAGCTACGAAAATCGTTATTCACTTTTAAAGGCATTCATCAACCTTTTACAGCATATTGCAGGCAATTGACCCTATCGAAGGAGAAAGATTTTTTTTAATTTTAAATCGCTGTTGTTTTTCCACTTGCAATATCACGAACTTAAGTAGGTAATCTAAGAAAAAAAAGAAGACTGCACAAAAACGCGTTTTTAGAGAAAATTTCTCTATTTCATTATACTATAGACGTGATTAGGATTTTACGTTAGCAGTTAAGCAAAGGATTTGGTGCCATTCGGTAGCCGAAAACTGAATAAGTTCCATACTTTTACAAAAGATTGATGAATAAAGGGAAAGTGATCAAAACGCCGAGTAGACCTCGTGGGATACATTGGAATTATGGTGGATAATTTAGTACACAAACGCCACAGTTTATGGGCTAGTAACTGAGCTAATTTATGTTTTCAGTTCCATTTTATACAGCTATTACAGAATAATATTGCGGTAGTTATTAAAACCAAAAGGCATTACCTATAAACCGTGAACGTATTAACCGTTTAATTATAGCTATATGCAGCAATATATCCATTTTTTGAAAATAAAAATGGAACTATAAATGTCTTTTATACACATGTTCTGTATTAGGTGCATTTTACCTGTTCATACACCAACTTGTTCTGAGAGTTAATGTCTGAAAACGAATTTAGGGTGGTAGTCTTTTATTGTATATAAAGCGGATGTTCTGCTACAACTGAGCTTTATTGCAAAATAGAAATATCCCCGCCAGGACTCATCTATACCTATATTACATTGTAAAACAGCTACGGCCAAAATTGGATGACTTCCATCAAATACTATAGACTGATCGGTCTATGTAGTATTTGCTTTCATATTCCAATCTTTATTAGTTTTCTATTTCTGATAAAATTTTATCAAAATTGTCATGTTCTTATTGTACCTATTACCTTCCCGTCCTAAACTGGAATGGAAAATTTTCATTGCTAAGATCTGTTTTACGTTCTTTTTCTAATATACTTGGGATGGTCAAAATTGGCAAAGTTAGGATGGACGTATCTTCCTTCTTGTTTTTACTTCGGATTGTAGTCATTTGCTTTTTGAACAAGCCCTTGTTAAATTAGGCAATGCTTCATGAGTAGTACAGACAAAGTGAAAAGGGATAACCGAATAATAGTAAGCGGTGTAGCTGTTACAGGTTGCTTAGGTACGCAAAAGGTCAGGATCGGCTTTATAACTGCCTGTTTGAAGTTGTAACTTTAAACAAGCCTCCTGAGAATGTTGAACTTTCTTTAAAGTTCGATGCTGGCAACATGTTCAAATTCTGCTTGTCCGTATCTCGCTCTGTTACACATTAATTGGTGTAATGTTATTTCTTTCTCTTGATTAGTGTCTGCTGCAATTCCTACCTAACATCTCTCTTCTATGTTTACGAGTTCCTGTCAGCAACAGCTCTAGTCTAGTTAGTAAGTCGAAAGAAGAAAGTAAAAACGACAGTTTTATTGCGGACTATGCCAATCTTAAACGTCCCAACTATATGTGTGGATAAATCTCATTTTTCAAATGTAAAATTTAGTACAAGTTCGCTAATGTTTAAGTAACAAGCACTTATTACAGAAGTTGGGATTACTTATCGCTTTGGCTTTCACGATTCTTCCATCTTCTCATCCAGCATCAGAGACAGAAGAACGTCTGAAGATGCTTGCAACTCGTACTAGTGAAACGTTATGAAGCAACTCTAACAATTTATGTGGACCCGAATCAAAATAGCGTCAGTTTTTCATAATTCAGTCATTTCCATGTGACACATTTTAAGCATTACCTTAAAAAAACGGTCTCTAAGAAGTACTTTAGTGCCATGCGCGTCCACCAATTGTGAAAAATTCCAAACTCAAATTGGAATTCTCATATTATTACATGCATAATGCTTCTTGTTATGAAATACTACTAAAGTGTTTAATTAGAATGTCCTGAATTCGTTTACGCCCTTTGAACTAAATTAACAACTATCTCAATTGTACTTTGGACCGTACTTTAGGTACAGTGGATTTCATATATTACGACCTTCATTATAGTCACCATTTTGATATAGCGACATTAAATCCCGTGAATTTAAAGCATACTTTAGCACAAAATTCATGTAGCTATAGAAACTTCGGATATAACGCCGAGTTTTGGTGTTGCGACTGTTTTTAATGAATCATTTGTAACATATAATCCCATGCTGATATAACAACGGGAGTTGGTTGCTCTTATCTTTTGTTTACATCCACACATATGCTCAGTAAATCTGGTGACATTTACCGTTTGTTTATAGATGTTAATAAGGTAGGTAGGTAAACTTTTGAATAAGTATTAATCCTAGATGTACATTTACTGTTAAAAGAAGGCGGAAATCATTTCAAAATTGACATATTGTGGAAAATGTACGTTCGTCTCTGTATCTCTTTACCTTCACCTGTATCGACTTCCGGATATAACGACGAAATTACAATGGCCCCTTCGTCGTCGTTATACCCGGAATCCACTGTATAATTATTCACCACGTGAAATGCTTCATACTTGTGCATTTTAAAGCTCTTTATAAATTTAACGGAAAATGTAGAAAATGGTAATCAGATTACAACTGTCGCTTTTGTAGTTAATTACACTATCCACTGACTGAAATAATTCGGGTTGACGCCGGTGACGTCACGTCTTTTATTTCGTACTTAATTGTTCAATCAAGTTAAATCCTCCATAAACTCACTTTTATATATTCCGTTTCTAACAAGGAAATCGTAAAAGTAGAAATTAAAAGTGTACTGCTAGGTCCATTAAAAATGGAGAATGTCGGTATCTCAAACAGAAACGTTAGCAATGGTTTAGCTCATTGTCTGAATAACACTCACTTTGTAGTTTAATTTTAACGGAATGTTTGAAAGAAAATATTCTTTCTACTCATATTTACGTATTAAGACAAATTTTTTTGAAAAGCTGAATTGTTAAGTCCATCAGCCTTTATGTTCAACAACTTATTTAATATAAAGTGTAAAAAAGGCGATACATTGGTCAAGAATCGAACCCAGGNTAGGTATCGCAAGCATAACGTCTATATGTATGCAGGTCCTTCCAATCGAACAATACCACAATTAACGAGGCCTATGTTTAATTTAATTAAAATATAAGTTAATGTCCACAACATAGCGTAAAAGAACAACATGCATCTTGCAACAATTGTTTTATAATAACACTAGCTTTTCCCCGCGGCTTCGCTCGCAGAAATTTATATTGTTTCTCCAATTCATCCGTACAACGTTTTAATTTTATGTAATGTCGCCATCTTACATTTCAAATACAAACGTAGCAAAAACATTTCATCCTTAAGGGTTGATTTTTAAAAATTGTCAAAATACGTATTTGCTTAATTTCAATAACGAGCAACTTTCGAGTAAATCCGAGTACAAATAAAATATACCCCATGGAAACGTTGCAACCTCTTTTAATGTGATTAATAATATCAAACAGCATATATACCAAGTTTCAAGTACCTAGA